CTATAAATTGACGGGGAAGGGGGTAGCAATAAAGATAACACCATTAAACAGTTACACAACATAACTGAAATAATATCGATAGCAGCGTCCCTAGCAACCACCTTGGTAACAATGAAAACGTTGTATAGACACAATTTCCTGAAGTAGGCCTAATCTTCGTAATAACTAGCAAACTAAAGATCATGTACATCCACTGCACACATAATCTGAAATAACAACTCATATTTCTCGCATCAAATGACATCAAAACGCATTTTAATAGCCAAACNAGAAAGACAAGTTTCATGGACTTTCAGTTGTGTTTTAGAGCATTTGAACACATCAATATTTTAGATACTATACTAAAGTATATCTAATCTTGTATTTCATTGAAATACAAGATTAGATATACTTTAGTATAGTATCTAAAATATTGATGTGTTCAAATGCTCTAAAACACAACTGAAAGTCCATGAAACTTGTCTTTCTGTATTTGTGAATGAAGCGCCATCTCCTGGTTAAAACCTGAAATTGAAAATATGGCAACGCCCTTTTGGAAAATAGTGGGAGGGCTTAACATTCCTCTATACTGGTCTTAGGCAGGTCGTAGGCAGGAAGCTGTAAGCTGGAGTCTGAAATTAAGTGCTACATCTGTAGTATTTCTACAAAAACGCCTCTGAAATTGTAAGATCCTTCCTTTTTTTTTCACCATTCATTCCAATGGCTGGCGTCTATGTCACGTGATCTTCAAATGTCTCCCTGCAGAAAAAAAAAACAAGGCCGAACTTCGTTTTATTCTCGGTGAAAAATGCCTATTTTAAGGTTAGTTTGGCCATTAAAATGCGTCTTGATGTAATTTGATACGAGAAATATGAGTTGATATTTCAGATTATGTGTGCAGTGGATGTACATGATCTTTAGTTTGCTGGTTATTACTTCAGGAAATTGTGTCCATTCAACGTTTTCATTGTTACCAAGGTGGTTGCTAGGGACGCTGCTATCGATATTATTTCAGTTATGTTGTGTAACTGTTTAATGGTGTTATCTTTATTGCTACCCCCTTCCCCGTCAATTTATAGTGTTGGTCCACAGCGCAAACGTATTTTAACAAACTCCGCATCTAAAATTGTAGCATAGATACGTTATTTTCCCCTGTGCAATTCTCCATTTACTCAACAATAACACATAATTATCCTTGTGTTTATTTATTTGTTTGATTAATAAACACAAGTTGGAGTCCGTCAGGACCGAGGGTCGGAGCAGCTCATTTGCTTTAGAGAATATTACACCCGGAAGTAAGTATTCTCTCCGCTTCGCTTGTCAAACCCTGTGATAGTCCTCAAGCTCTGTGATTTGAGAGTGTGCTCCGAGGGTTACGCCGAGCATCGAACAGCACTTGAAATGGGATGGAACCATGGCAGACTGTCCAAAACTGGATTTGAACGGGTCCAGAAATTTGAAGATCACGTGACATAGCCAGCCATTGGAATGAATGGTGAAAAAAAACGTAGGGATCCTACAATTTCAGAGGCGTTTTTGTAGAAATACTACGTCCTACGTCCTACTACCAACATAGTTATTACACGTTTTTTTGTGATACTGGGTTGGTTTATCAGTTGAGAGAAAACAAACAAATGCAGAGGAAACTGCATATAAAAATGCCATCTATACGAACAAATTCCAAACTTCACTGCATCACAACAAAAGTGTGTTAATCTGTGGAATAACTGTAATGATGAGCTGAAATACTGTGCTACTTTATCTAAACTGAAAAGACTATTCAGACACAAAATCCCGAATGTTTATGAGCAAGACTGGTGATTTCCTGCTTGTTATTTCTTGTCGTTGATGGTTTTGGTTAACCTTTAAAGATCTTTTTCTTTTTTTTTTTACAAAGGGATGATTTGATTAAAACAACAAATCAAATATCACGGATGCTGATGACGATGAACTGGACTTTTTATGTTCATGAACAATGTATGGTAGAGGGAGTAGGACCAGAAAAAAATTGTAAGCTTCTTATTATCCCTTTTGAACATGAAGGAAACTATTCGAGAATTTATTTTTGACACCTTGTAAAGTCTTTTATGTTTTGCTTGTTTTCCAATTGCTAAGGGGGCAAATAGGTACAATTATCTAATATTTCAATATTTTCACGGTTTTGAGAAAATGCCAGAATGACAACCAAGGGTTGTGACCTTTCGGGCGGGGGCCTGTGCCCTTTCGGGCGATAAACAATGGATTAGAAAATGGTATATAAAAACAAAAAGTAAAATAGTCCATATCATAGGGTCATATCATCTGAAAAACACCTTTAGTTCTTAACCATCTACTTTCAATCACAATTAAAATGAGTATCCAAACAGTTTATTTAAAAATGATTGAGAGTGTTTGTGTTTTTCTGTCAGGATACTGTCGTCTGTGTGTCAGAGAGAGATCCGGACCTTTGCCAGACTGTAAACATCATCACATGGCATCAAGGAGAAGAAGTAACCTTCAGGCTGACGCCTCCCTCTCCTGAATACACGCAGCGCTGGACCGAAGCCATCTGGCAGCACATCTACAACCTGAGTGAGGATGAACAAAGCACAACATGTAGCCCTGTCTCCAACACTTACTACCTGGGGTTACGTACTGTAACCCAGCTTCTATGAGTATAGGCGCAGCCCTCTAAGGCTATCGCTATTGTGTAATCCCACTGCACGTGTGCAGCACTGACAGACTTAATCCACGCCCACCTATGACGTGGGCCCCACCTACGGATTCACTTCCGTTTAAATAGGAAGTAGTCCCTACAATCTGCTCCCACACAAACAGCTTTTCTTCAGCTATTCGCGGAGCAAGTGGGGCCCGAAACTTAGAGGGCTGCGCCTATACTCATAGTAGCTGAGTTACAGTACGTAACCCCAGTTCTATATCGTGTAAGCCTTCGCCTTCTAAGGCTATCGATATTGGGTTAAGGGCGAAGCAGGATGTAGTCTACGCCCCACTGTCCGTTACCAGAAGCACAAAAACACACCTTCTCAATTAATAACCCATGTCCATTTCGCCATGCGTAATGGAGCATCACATTCCCAGGGAATATAGCATTAAAAAATGAATATTCTCCATAAGGGAAAGAAGGTAGGCTAAATAGGCTACCTGTCGTTATAAAAAGTAGAGACCAAAGTCCCACTTGTTAAAACGATCAAAGAGGGGGAAAAGGGCAGCTCTCTAAGTGCCGACAGGCAGAAGAGAGGGCACACAGTTGAGTCCCCGACATTACTCACTCTGACAGGATACTCAGTACTGAGTGTGTCAGAGAGCCCTGGGAAATATCCCTCAAATACAACCGAATAAAAGAACAGGGGGAAGACCAAGATGCAGCAGTGCAAATGTCCTTCACTGTCATTCCTCCGTGCAACGCCGTAGAGGATGAAAATCCTCTGGTGCTGTGCGCTTTGATGTTCTCCGGGGGATCCACCCCAGAGGAGACGTACGCCTGTGACACAGCCTCACACAGCCAGTGTAACAAGCGTTGTGCAGACAGAGGCTGCTCTATTGAGCGCTCTCTGTAATGCACTAACAGACGAGCTGCGTAAAGCAGCCGTGCGTGCAATATAGCATGACAGCGTGCGCACGGGACAGAGGAAATGAGATGTGGCTTCTTCCTCTGATGTGTAAGGAGGAGGAAAGAAGCCATCCAAAGTTATCACTCTTGATCTAAAAGAGCTTGTGATCACCTTTGGCATAAAAAAACGGGTTAGGGCGCAAAACAGCTGAGCTGCCATCTCCGCAAAAGCCTGACCGGGAGAACCCGACGCAAGTGTGCCCGTTGCCGCCGCTCCCGAGGACTGCAGCCGAGCAGTGGTAGCTGTTGGTTGCTCGGTGTAGTCTCGTACCAGCGGGCGCCGGGAGTCGTCATGAAATGAATGTCGCGACCGGCTGTCGCATCCACACAGCTCCATCTCTGTCTACATCATATGTCTTCCCTGTGAGTTGCCGTATCCGCGAAAATCAATATAGTTACCGAGTGGCCAATGTCTTCGGCCGACGAGCGCGGACTCTCTTGGAGGCACGCCTAACTATCCCGTCGTACCGAGGGCGACGTATTTGCCGACACGAAATTTTTCGGGTGTACTCTTCGCGCTGAGAGTGTCGTCTACTTCCTGTCGAGAGGAGGACAGCGCCGCAGTGTGGGGCGCCCGCCACTGCGGAGAGGCACTACGGCGACAATCTCGTACTATAGTTCGACCAGTCCACCTACTGAGGTGGGACCCAGATGAAGTTGTCACTCCTCTGAGGTCTCCACCAAATAAGCGGACGCGTAGGCTGGGGACACGCAGTCTCCTCTGCGTACCACATGTAAGGAGGAAGGCACCCAAACCTAAACTGGATTGTGACCCTTTCTAGAGGTGGCAGTCACCCCCACGGGGACTCGTCTCACTTGTAGTGCGTCGGCGTCACAAGTGTCTGGCGTAGAGAGGCGTCCGACTCTTGCACCGTACAGCGTCCGTCACCCCCCTGTCACCGGCCACTATTGTGTACACGAGTACTAGACGGTATATATTTTGCACGCCCTTAATGAACAGGTATACCTTTCATCTGGTCGTGATGCAGGGCAACGACATGTTAGTTGTACACAACTAAGCACTTGTCTGTTGTTGTATACTGCGCTAGTGCCGCGTCGACGACTTTGTTGTGTAGGATGTGTCGGTTTACCTGTTACAAGGCAAACCACACATCCCTTTTCGTGACCTGGGGCAATGCCAGTGGGACGGAGCACGACAGCAAGGAGGTCGACAACGACCTGTCCTTAACCGAATATCGTGCCAGTTTTGTATACGACGACGGTAAAGTAGAACGGTGCATCCAAACCACAGTCGTGCCACAAATCAGTGGGTGAGACTGTTTTGCAAAAGGATTGCCCTCATGTCTCTGAGTCTGGACACAGTGCGCGAAACCGCGGAGTTACCAGCCCAAACCGAAATCACAATGCGCGTGACTCATTTCGAGGTAAACTTGGAAAATCTAGGTCCAAGGGGGACTTCAAAAAACAGTCGGTTTCATCGGAGACGAGAAGAACCGAGACTGTAGTCGATTTCCCACTCACTAAACAGACGAGAGAGACACCGAGGCAGTACAGAG